ACTCTTTCTCTCAGTTCAATAGAGACATGCAAATTGCACAGATGACACTAGAGGAATTCAGCCAACACTTTTAAGTGTGCCTAGTTGATCTGGCCATTCCAACTAGCTACTGCTTTGCTACTTCTGAGTCAGCCTGAAGTCTGAATGTGAGCCAGGGTTTGGACTTCTCTTTCAAAAAATGTATGTCCCACACAGGCTTTTAAATAGAAACTGGATTAGAATTGAATTGTAATTTAACTAAAACATATTCCATTTATGACTTTCAAAGAAACTCAGAGAGCACTCAGCTAGCTGAAGTTACTCTACAGTGTCTAGAAATTACCCATCACTCCTTCCCCACCTCCTGATTTTAACCTGCTTTCCTCTCATTTTTGAAGAAGCACACAGACGGGAGAAGGAAGCTTTCTCTTCTCTGATCTAGTTGGTGAATACTTCCTATCAAGTTGGCTTATGCTGCCTTGGTCAAGCAACATCTCTCACAAGAACAAAGGGCTGCCCAAAGCACAGGCTCTCTGCCACAGTCGGAGTTACCTGGGCCAGATTCCCACTGTGCTGAACCTCACCAGAAACACAGAACAAACTCAAATTTCAGAAGCACTCATCCTGCTTTTAGGCAGTGATGCCTATGCTTCTCTAGCAACCCCATTTCTTTCCCACCTTCCCTAAAGAAGGATAGGACAAAGTGCCCAAGGATAAGCACTCCCATAGCTCTGTCTCTGCTGGAGTGCAGCTCTGTGGCTGCAAGCCAAGTAGAACAAGCAAGCACGAGACAGGACTCAGTGTAGTGTTACCTATAAAACCCAGCATAGTTTTACCTCTTCAGAGAATATGCCTCTGCTTACACTACATTACTTTCAGCCAAAGACAAGGAGACAGCTCAGTAATGGGCAGTAACTGGAACAACTGAAAAAGCAGCATAGAAAATATGCTAGCATTAACTGCTAAATCCAGATTTTAAAGACTGAAAATGAAGTTATATTCACCACTAGTACTAGCTCCTGGAAAAAGGAGGTTAGTGTTTAAAAAAATTTTTTGGAGAAAAACCCCAAAACCCAACTAATACGTAACTGTAGCAAGCAAACTTTGTTTGTTCTGCTAAGCAATTCTAGTTGAAAAACAAAGATTTAGTAGTGAAACTTTTCATACTTGGGGAAATTATATTCTACTTGCTGAGGTCCTACAAAAAATCAGTTGAAACTCTGTGCACAAAGTTTAGAGAAATTACATACAGTACTCCACACACATGACTGACAATTGCTATTTCGACAAAAAGAATGGTAGGGATGTGGGGAGAGAGGGAGAAAACAGAATAAAGATGTACCTTTCTGGCATTAGAAGATATTGTGTTTGCCATTAAGCTTTCCAGATAACTGCTCAAGCTAATGCCTTTAACAGTAATAATTGCTTCTTGAGTTAGTACAGTTCTGTAAGAGAATAAAGAAAAGTTAATACCAAAACTGAATGGGACTAGCATAATGTCTCCTATACACAAAGAAGCACTCAAATATCCTTAACTTACTTTTCAGGGTTTTCAGGATGAGGCGTGTAAACCAGTCTTTCATCAACAGACACCAAGTTTGTGAGAGTAATCTTAGAAAGAAAAAAAAAAGGCTGAAATCCTCACTTCCTGTCTTTCATTTTTCTTTTATCAACAGCCCTACTCAATAATACTCACTTTAATGTCAGAGATGAAGCACTGTACACAGAATATAAACCCCAGAATAGTGTCAATAAAAAACCCTATAAAGGGTGACGCATCTTCTAGTTATATCAAACCAAGTTCCTATGCACAGTACCAAGCACAAAGAGCTTTCCGTTTGTTTTCTCTCAATGTTGAGTCCTATGTGATTGATGGCATGCAGTTCAGAGAAGCTCTTCAAGACCAAGACCAGTGTTGGTTGTTATGGTTAACACTGTTTGGACTATACAGAAAACTAATACTCGAGAAAGACAAAGCCTCTTGTACAGAGACAAGGCCCTCCAACGGACAACTTAAAATCTGATAGCTGCAAGTTCCCAGAATAGTAAAATACAGCCTAATACTTCATTTACATTTTGTGAAAAAAGACACTGCACATTAAAACTTTTATTGTAAATGGCAGTGTAATGTAGAACAAGCTATTAATCTAAAATTCAAAGTAATTTACATGCATCCTGAGAAATAAGTTTACATGAAAAATAGCATCATAAATGTTTGATCCCCAAGTATTTAAACTTTCCTATTTGTGGGAAGGAGGAGGAAAAAAAAAAGAGACAACTAAGACATGGAAACTGCTGCCTCCTGATGAAAGATGCAAGCACATTTCTAATCTAAATGTTAGTAAAACATCTAATCTCCAGAACTAATTACCACAAACTTCTTAAGCTACCACTCACATTAGTTGAGCAAAGCTCCATCTTTTTTTCCACTGGATCTACCACAGAATGTTCCTCAATGTAAGTCAGAGTTCTACTTGTTCCTAAAATCTGAAAGTGAAGGGGGAAAAAAAAAGTTAAGTACTTAAATAAATAAATAAATCCACCTTGAAAGGCATAACGTCAAGTTCTTAGAGACCTCAAATAAACAAAAAGTAAGTCACAGATAGCAGAACACTGTGAACAGCGGCAAGACTACATCCTGGTACGCTGTATCAGGTATATAGCATGACACCAGACCAGTCTGGAAGACACATATGGACAAACACACATTATAGACATATTAAAGCCTACAATGCATTCTCAAAATTATGATTTTAAAATTATAGCTGAAGTACTAAGTATGCTAATTACAGTTTATGTGATATTTGTGGTGATACTTCCTGTAAATTAAGCTTTTTTCAGCTCCAATTCAGACGATGACATAAAAATGTACCACACCCTTAATAAACCACAAAGACCGTAAAAGCGTACCGCTTTTACAATGCTTGGCAATCCCCACTCTGTGCTGAGAAGACGGTGACTATGCAACCTCCCCTGGTTATCAAGGCTTCTATCAAGGACGTCTACTCCTACCACACACGGATTCATTGGGTTGGGGTACTTCCTCATAGCAGCTTTGATCACTGTATCCCAAGGGTGTCTGTAAAAAGAAGAGACAATATTTTTAACTATTTTGTATTTAATGGCAAGTATTCAGACAACACTAAATCAGCTAATTACATTAGCTTGCATAAAATGGCCTGTCCTGTACAACTTTGTAGCTCGCAAAATCACAGAATCACAGCATGGCAGGGGTGGGAAAGGATCTCTAAAGATCATCTGGTCCAAGCCCCTTGGTAGACCAGGATCACCTAGAGAAGGTCACACAGGAACACGTCCAGGTGGGTTTTGAATGTCTCCAGAGAAGGAGACTCGACAAGCTCTCCGGGCAGTCTGTTCCAGTGCTCTGGTACCCTCACAGTGAAGAAGTTTTTGAACCTCCTGTATGGTAGTTTGTGACCATAGAAGTCTCTTCAGGATTCAGTGATGCTTGCAAAGACACTAAGAAAGTACTGATACACAAACAGAAAAAATAACAAAAAATTCTTTCTCCAGAGTGAAGAAAGGAATTATTAACCCAAGACTAACAGAAATGAGGGCAAGGGACAACAGTCACAAATTGCTACAAGTGACATTCCAATTAGCTGTGCAAAAAAACCTACAATAACAGGGTAGCAGTCCACAGAGGTTGTCAAATCTCCATCCATTTCAGAACTCAACTGGAAAAGCAACTTGACCTAACATTTAACTTTGACCTGCTTTGAGAAGGGGGCTGGATTAGATCACCTCCAGAAGAGTCCACTCCAACATAAATTCCTCTATAATTCTAAGCACACCAAATAAACTAAAGAAGAAATCATTAGCTTCTGTTTCTTCCTATAGTAAAAAAGCAAAGTGAAATTCTATTCAACTAAAAAAAAATAAATCAGGAAGTTCAAAATAAAGAAACAGATTCAGAAACCAGATCAGCTCACTGCCTTAAGTCTGCACCTATACTTCTGCTATCCTAATAGCTTGTTAGCATGAATTACATTTATGAATACTCTTCTCAATACAGAACTGTTTTTATGAAAGAAGTTTTGATAATCTCAAACTCCTGGGATCAGAGCAGCCCCACCACTGGACGTCAGTCTGTCCACACGGCTCTTGTTCTGGGACTTCATATATCTTCTTCTGAAACAGAGGAGACTAGAGAAATCATGGACTTGATCCAATACAGAAATTGTGTCCCTAAGCAATGATTTCTGTATTCACAATAATAGGTACATTTGGAATGAAAGGTTTGGAACCTTTAAAGGTACCTTTAAAAATTCAACTATTGATACCTAACTTAAGAAGGCATAGGAGTGCCAACTTGTACATAAGAGTTGCACTTAAGGCCCTAAATGGATGTGATTTTTAAGAACGCTGCTTTTAGTCTTAAAATAGACCAGTACAGAAGGGCATCAACAGTACATCTCCACCAGAACAAAGAGTAATACAGTTATAATAAGTTACTTTCCAACAAGTGTAAAAAAAAAAGGTCTTTCAGCTTTATTGGTGCAAGCAGGAAAAATAGAGCTCTCAATTCCTGCTTCACAAGGAGAGCTGGAGGACCACTCCTTCTTATCTTCAGTGGCTATACATCATAATCAACAGAGATAGGGGTAGATACACAAACTAAAAAGGTTAGATTTCTGTTAAGTCTCCTTGAGGAATTTTAAAAGTCAGAGATCTGATAAAGCACAACAATATTTTATTAACCCCTGTGCTGAACTATCTACACCCACACACATTACACCGTAAGATGGGGGCATTCCAATAGAGATCTTGATGAGAAAATGCCAAACAGAAATCGAGTTTGTGTCTCCCAGGTGACAGATACTAATCTCACACTCAGAAGTTATGCCATACACAAGCAGCCCTTACTAGCATCTGCCTGTCATTTTATATCAGAAGCTACTATGAACTTATACCAGACTAATATTAAAGTTCAACACCTATGTCAGCATGTCAGTTGTGTTCATACAATTAAAGAAGTGTAAAACTGCACATCTGGGATATTTTGTAAATATTTTACAAACTATCAACCCTGGTGTTCTTCAAGTTTCGAGATTTTTAAGACACCTGTAGGAGGTGAGTTATCTGTGGCATTTTAAGAGCTGCACTGGAACTGCTGGGTCCTTCACATCAGTTCCCCTGTATAGCTTGGGCAAGCATTACATTCCTGTTGACACTTTTGTCTACTGTTCCCTTATTATACAAAAATGAAACTGGATTGCCAGAACTGTGTTCCAAATATGTTTAATGCAGAAAAGGACTGACGATAAGAAAACTTACACGGCTATGAATGGCTGGCTGCTAGGCCTCTGCGAGAGTCTTGACAGCTAAGTAAGATAAGGTACGCGGTAACTCTTGGAATGTATCAAGTACATCAGTAGGTTGCGATA